GGTCCAACTCGAAGGCAGTGTGTTTGGTTTGGTTTGGTAGCATGAAAAAAAAAAAGCATAATGCAGTATTTATATAATAAAATTGGTGTCTTCACTACTAATAAAAGTACACATTTTTATCCAAAAATAACCAAAGAAGTCTTGTTTCTCACTGCCTGGAGTCAGATCCCACTCTTAATAACACCTCCTTGGGTTTGCAAGGCAGTATCACTACGGAAGTTGATTGCCCAACCTTCCTTCCGAGGAGAAGCTGGTGGGTTTGAACCGCCAGTCTTCTGGTTAGCAGTCAAACGCCTTAGGCACTATGCTACCAGAGCTCCCAGCTTGTTTCTAAAATACCATTAATGTTGAAAACCATGTGGTATTGGCTCAATATAGCACTGTTTTTCACATTAGGAAGACTTAATTGAATTGTACTAACCCCACTCAGTGCCTAAGGAATTTGATTGCTAACCAGAAGATTAGAGATTCAAATTAACCAGCCGCTCCATGGAGGGAAGATGGGACAATCTACTTCCATAAAGATTTATCACCTCGGAAACACAATGGGGGTCACTATGAGTCAGGCTCAACTGGGTGGCTGTGGGTGTTTTGGTTTGTTTTTAGTGGTACGATGGCTGCTAACTGAAATGTCAGAGGCTCAAACCCACCAATCACAGAGTGGAGAAAGATGGGACAGTCAACTTCCTAAAGATTTATAGCCTTGGAAACCCTATGGGGCAGATCTACTCTGTCCTATACGGTCACTGTGCATCAGAATCTAGTCAATGGCAGTGGGTCTTTTTTGTTTGCTTTTTTTTTTTTGTACTGTTATTATTAAGCTTCTTTAGGATTCTATTAATTTACTTTTACTTTTAAAAATACTTGTTTCTTATCCTCTCTCTGAGCATACATAGGCTACTATAAAATATTTCCAAGGTGACCAGAACACCTTGTTGTTGTTGTTGTGTGCCATTGAGTCGGACCCGAGTCATAGCGACCCTTCCTTGGGTTGCCGAGGCAGTATCACTACGGAAGTAGATTGCCCAACCTAGGTATTCAGAAATGAAATGGCCTAATGTTTATCGTTCTTATTCTTTGGCTATATGGAATCCCAAGAACATAATAAAATAGAACAATTTAGTGACTTCCAAAGAGGAATCAGAGAGCCATGCCTTTTTTGGACAATTGTTGCTAGGATTCTTTCAGCAACCATATTTGGCATCTGTGGACTATGAACCTCTGTAGCAAAGGAAGACCTTTCTTGGGCACAAAAAGGAAAATTTAAATTCAATTAAGTAGATGATATCTTTCTTCCAAAATTATTGCTCTGTTCCTAGTCAAAGAGATCAACCCTAATTCAACTATTTGTAGAGTGAATACAGAAACTAATTAACTCTTTGCTAATGCTGGCATCATCACTCTATTTCAAGGTTAAAATGAGAAATTTCTACTTCACTTCTGATGATGATCTCTCAAATAAGTTGAAAATTTTGGAATTGTTTTGTAGGGAAGTAAAGGAAAATATGTTAGTATCTAGTTATAAGAAATCAGACTGGAAGCATCAGCCGATATTATATGTCAGCAGAAACATTTAGTCAAAATATGATAAAAATCCACATATTTCTCCTATAGGACTGAATCACCCAGACACAGACATTCATTACAGCTATAGAAAATCTTTTACCATGTAACACAATGCAATAAATCTAAAATTTAGAAGTCTTTGAACATTTAGCCTCTCTCTCATACTTTACTGCTCACTGAATTTCCTTTGCCTATCCATCCATAAACAGAGCTTAACCTGGGTTCGATCCAGCTGGATCTTAGATCCAAATCTTTAGAAGCCAGAGGAGTGACTTCTAAGACTTGTGATCAGGGGAGATGTAAAGGCATAAAAGGACACGCTGTCTTTTCAGTGTCAATGCAGAACAGATTGTCAGGTTGACAAGATGCACTGAAGTGAAATGTCCTTTTCTGTCTTTTTATATTCATTGCTGTCCCAGAAACTGGATGCTTAAAATACAAATCTCTTATATATGGAATTTTGTTAATAAAATATAAAACTTATATGATTATATTCTATCTACTTTTGTTGTTACTGAAATCTTCCTATATTTGACTTTATGAATATTTTGCAGACTTTGCTTTATGCTCTGGTAATTTCACATTTCATGTAATGCAATATGAAGGCACTTGCAAGGTTACTAGATGTATTTGTTTTTAAAAATTAAAAACAATCCTGTTTTCATTTTTATATTGTTGTTCACCTGTGTACTTGACTGTAAATTCAGATTGAGCAAAATGTCCTCAGAATTTTATTGTTTAAAAAACTATGATCTAAAAAGAACTGCAGAGTAAAGTACTTAATGGATAATAAATATTTTCATTAAAAAATAATATTTTCAAATAACATGCAGTAAACAACCAAGCATGTTTGAAAAGAAATAATATATGATGATATTAACCTTACTTACCAAACTCTTTGGGAACTGCTATAGAATAAACACAATTATGTCCCACACTATAATTTTTTGGATAGTTTGGTGATAAAACAGTGCCTTCAGAACCTGTTGAACGACTCCCACAGGGTGCTAGAAAATAAAAATAATAAACATTATTTTTAGGAAAATTCAACAAATGTATAATCTTCTTGATATAATTATTTTAAAAATTTGGCTACCAGATTTTAAGACATATAATTTATTTTAATACTTTAAGATGCCCTACTAACAATTATTTTAAAAATAAAAAAGGAACAGATATGATATACTTTTCTCAGAGACTGGATAATGCAATATAATAAATAATGTTATAATAGTGCAATCTCTAAAGGTAATAATGAAGGCCTTGCTTTCATTTATGATTGTTGTGTGTTGTTGTGTGCTGTTGAGTCGGACCTGACTCACAGTGACCCCTCCTTGGGTTTCCAAGGCAGTATCACTACGAAAGTAGATTGCCCAAACTTCTTTCTGAGTGGTGGCTGGTGGATTTGAACCACCAGCCTTCTGGTTAGCAGTCAAATGCCTTAGGCACTATGCTACCAGAGCTCCATCATTTATGATAAGAGTGTAAAATTTAATGATGAGGAATTACATATGCAAGTGGGAAATTGTTTTATGTACTGGCAGGCTTTGAAACTTCACTAAGATTTAACACTTATGCTACTGCCAAATTAAGCATATCTGTGCATGGAATGGGAGCTCTGGTGGCATAATGCCTAAAGCATTTGACTGCTAACCAGAAGGCTGGAGGTTCAAACCCACCAGCCACTCCCCAGAAGGAAGGTTGGGCAATCTACTTCCATAGTGATACCGCCTCAGAAACCCAAGGATAGGTCACTATGAGTCGGGTCCAACTCGATGGCAGTGTGTATTTTTTATGCATAGATGGGCTCAAGTATGGCAAATATTGTGAGAAAGGCACAGCAGTGTTTCATTCTGTTGTCCACGGAGTATCTATGTGTTGGAGTTTACTCTACAACACCTAACAACAACAGCAACAACAATACATGGTACAGGGATGATTCTACAAATATATTCACCCACTCATCTAAGAAATTTACTGTCTTACTAATCTTAGCTGTTTATATAGTTTACCTTGAAAGAGAGGAACTGCTAATTGTGCATAGAGGCAGAATTTTTGCCAGCTCTAATCTAAATGCACTAAATCTTAAAGCACTGAGACCTATTCCAATATTTCTGGTAAACGAGCAGATGGTGGTCTGTTAGTCACAAGACAGTGAGTGCATTAAGATTCATGGTGTTGAAACTCAGACAGGAGCCTGGGCAACAAATGGAAGTGTAAGTATCAAAACGTATACCACTCATTGCCAAAAAGTCAACTGCGACTCATGGCTACATTGTGTGCCAGAGTAGAACTATGCTCCACAGGGGTTTCCAAGGATGATTTTTGGGGAATAGATTGCAGGCCTTTCTTCCCAGGTCCCTCTGAGTGGGCTCAAATCTCTAAACTTCCAATCAGCAGCCAAGCTCATTAACTATTACACCACTCAGGGACTCCATCAAAGCACACTTTGTTGTTGGGTGCAGTGGCGTCTATTTCTTCTCATAGTGACCCCGTGTGATGAGACAGAGTAGAACTGATTAAACACCAAGTGCTTAATCATTGCCTTACCAGTGATTCATAGATGACAATAACTATTCTTTTTTTTTTTTTTTTTTTTTAATTGTGATTTGGGTGAAAATTTACAGAGCAAATTCACTTTCCATATAGCAGTTCACATACACTTTGTCACTTTGTCTCATGACATTGACCATAATTCACCACAATGCAGCAGCTCCCTTCCCACTTCCTCCCAACATTCACCTCTTCCCTGTGTCCATCCCTCCATGCAACCCTGGCACCTGGGCTATCTCCCTGTGCATAAACAGCCCTTCTTACTCCCATGATTCTTCTCTCCAAGGAGTGTATCTACCTCAGGTAAATGTTCAACTCCTATGCCTGTCTTTTGTTTGGCTGGAAGCCACAGGTGTGGGTTCAATTCCAGACCTGAAGGGCAGCTAGGGGCCATAGTCTCAGTGGTTCCACCAGGCTCTATCAGACCAGCAAACCTGGTCCCTTTTTTTTTTTTTTTTCCAAAATGATTTTGAATTTTGCTCCACCTTGTTCTCCCTCTCTATCCAAGATCTCCTACATAGATTCCCCTCCAAATGGTTGACAGTGGTAACCAGGCACCATCTAGTTCTTCTGGTCTCATAGTCATATAGGGTATGGATCACATGATATAACACTCACTAGGACTAATTCAATCCATAAATCTTGGGTTTTCTTCATTCTTCTTTCCTCTGCATGAGGAGAGACCCATCGTTGCATATAGATGGCTGCTTACAAGCTTTGAAGATCCCAGTCACTACTCGCCAAAGTAGGAGGTGGAACAATGTCTTTTGTAGTATGTTATGCCAGTTGAGCTTGATATCCCCTGTGACTATAGTCCTGAGCCCATAGGTTCAACAACTCGGTCCCTGTGGGTAGCTGGCTGTGACAAAGAAGTGACTACAAACTTGTCCCTTGTCGACTCTACTATACACCTGGGAATTCAGATCATACAAATACACTTATAGGACCATTGTCTGCCAACCCTATACATGGTCTTGGGTACACTCCCTGCTGCATAGACATACCTAATAGTTCATCCTGTCCACCTATCTATCCACCTATATACCCATGTTTGCTTTCACTGACAATTCAGTACTGTATGTGCAAAAGGGTTCACCTTTGCTGTCTATACCTCCCGTGTACTTCTTTCGATGTCTTCCTCATCCTCAATGCCACCATGTTGACTCACATTTGGTACATTGCCCTTCACCCAAATCAATACTTACCTCTATCTATCTAATTGTGTTCCTTATCCTCCTCTCCCACCCCTGGTAACCAACAAAGAAAATTTCCTTCCATAGATAAACCTTTCCTTGACTTTTATAATAATAACAGATTAATACAATATTTGTCCTTCTGTGATTGACTTATTTCACTCAGAATAATGTCCTCCAAGTGCATTCACATTATGTGGTGTTTTGCAGATTCTACATATTCTTTAGGATTGCATAGTATTCCATTTTGTGTATGTACCAAAGTTTGGTTATCCATTCCATAGTTGATGGACGCCTAGGTTGTTCCATTTTTGGCCATTGTAAATAGTGCTGCAATGAACATGGGTGTGCATATGTCTGTTCTTGTCCTGGCTCTCATTTCTTTAGGATATATATCTAGTAATGGAATGGCTGTGTCAAACGGTATTTCTAATTCCAACTTTTTAAGGAATTTCCATACTGCTTTCCACAGTGGTTGTACCATTTTATAGTCCTACCAGCAGTTTCTGAGAGTCCCAATCTCTCCACATCCTTGTCAGCATTTGTTATTTTCTGTTATGTTGAACTTTTCCACTAGTGCTGGGGCAAGATGGTATCTCATTGTTGTTTTGATTTGCATTTCTCTAATGGTTAATGATCATGAGCATTTCTTCATATGTTTGTTGGTTGCCTGAATATCTTTCTTGGTGAGGTGTCTATTCATATCTTCTGCTCATTTTTAATTGGATTATTTGCCTTTTTGTTATTGAGGTGTTGGAGTTTTCTGTAAATTCTAGAGATAAGTCCCTTGTCAGATATGTCATTGCCAAATATTTTTTTCCCAATTTGTAGGTTCTCTTTTGACTCTTGGAGAAGTCTTTGGAAGCATGTAAAAATTTAATTTTGAGAAGTTCCCATTCATTTAGTTTCTCTTCTGCTGCTTGTACATTTTGAGTTATGCTTGATAGTCTATTTATGCCATATATTAGGGCCCCTAAATTTGCCCTTAATTTTTCCTAGAGGAGCTCTATAGTTTTAGGTTTCACATTTAAGTCTTTGATCCATCTGGAGTTCATTTTTGTGTATGGGGTGAGGTACAGATCTATTTCATTTTTCTCCAAGTGCATATTCAGTTTTGCCAGCACCATTTATTAAACAAACATTCTCTTCCACATTTAATGGATTTAGGCCTTTGGCAAAGATCAGCTGACCATAGGTTCTCAATAGGTTTCTGGGTTCTCAATTCTATTCCGTTGGTCTATGTGTCTGTCATTATACCAATACCAGGCAAGTTTGACTACTGTGGCTGTATAGTAGATTTTGAGATCAGGCAGTGTGAAACCTCCTACTTTGTGCTTCTTCTTCAATAGTGCTTTGCTTATCCAAGGTCTCTTTCCTTTCCATATAAAGTTAGTGATTGGTTTTTCCACATCCTTAAAAAATGTTGATGGGATCTGGATTGGGATTGCATTGAATGTATAGATTCCTTTGGGTAGAACTGACATTTTCACAATGTTCAATCTTCCTATCCATGAGAATGGGATGTTCTTTCATTTATGTAGATCTCCTATGGTTTCTTGAAGTAGGTTTTTTATAATTTTCTTAGTACAGGTCTTTTGTGTCCCTGGTAAGATTTATTCCCAAGTATTTTATTTTTTTGGTAGCTATTGTAATGGTATTGCTTTCTTTCTTTCTTTTTTTTTTTTCAGCAATCTCTTTGCTGATGTAGAGGAGTCCAACTGATTTTTGGATGGTGATCTTATATCCTGCGATGATGCTAATCTCTCAATTAGTTACAGTAGGTTTTTGACTGAGTCTCTTGGGTTTTCCAGGTATAGGATCATATCGTTAGCAAATAGGGATAGTTTGACTTCTTCCTTACCAATTTGGATACCTTTGCTTTCCCTTTCTTGTCTTATGGCCCTGGCTAGGAATTTCAGTACAATGTTGAATGGAAGTGGTGATAGAGGGCATCCTTGTCTGGTTGCTGTTCTCAGCAGGGATGGTTTCAGTCTCTCTCCATTGAGTATAATGTTGGCTGTTGGTTTAGCATACATGCCCTTTATTATGTTGAGGAATGTCCCTTCTATTCCTATTTTGCTGAGAGTTTTGATCAGGAATGGGTGTTGGATTTTATCAAA